TGTGCAGTTTCATGGTAGTTATCTTGGCAAACGCATCTCTGCTCCTCTGACCACCAGACAACATGTACCTAGGCTGAAGTGCCGTCAATGCGGTGCTGATTGATAGAGCGATCTGAACCGTAGCCGAATGGAAAACTGTCAAAGAGATTAGTTGTAGCTCTCCTGCAATTAGTTGAAGTATCGTTGATTGGCCAATACCATTTGGCCCAACCATTGTGATGCAGCTGTCAAGGTCAATTCCAAAATTGAAATTCCTAAACAAAACTGATCTGCTAGGATAACCAAATGTTGCATCACTGAGACTTATTGTAGGAGGACCAAGTCTGTCATCGGAAATCGGGAACTCCAGTTTATAGTCAGGGCCATTCACAATCTCATCCACATGTCCCAACCAGTCCAAAGCCTTAATTCTTGACAAAGCTGATAGATTGGTAGCTTCCCACAAATAAATTGTGCTTGCAAGAGCTATTACAAGGTTATTGCAGCTTCCCCAAACCAACAAATTAGAGTAGTAATCATCTATGAGGTGTGGAGCATCCAATGTCTTCTCTGAAGTTTGAGGTATGTGTCCTCAGGGCTTTGCCAGTTTATCCTGTTTCAGAGAAGATAACTCGCGCAAGAACATCTCAATAAGGCCTTTCTTACCTTTAAATAGCATCATGTTTGCAAAATCAAAATCCATTGCTGACCTGCTTAGTATGAACTTGTCCAACTCTATAATAACATATGTGAAACCATATTCAAGCAAGATAGCCTTCCATGGAGACAAAATAGTTGCTGACATAAGATGACCCAAAACTTTAACCCTGTTATTCACCTCCCTCAGTGAATTGCAAGAAGTTGGTAAGTGGGTGTACAAGGTTACCATACAAATCTTCAGCTGCTCAAAAACTGAATCAAACTCTTTCATCACAAAATCCGCCACAATTGGGACAGAAACCTTATACTTGCAAGCTAGTAGCATGGCTGTCACACCCACCAACTGAAGCTGCTTTCTGATCACCATTTGGCGCTCGAATAACCTGTCTATGAGATTGACGATAAGAAATTGTGTCTCACCCATAAGTTCAAACTTGTAGTGGACCTTAATAAGCCAATCAATGAGAATTGCCCTCATTTTCTTGTTGATGTCAGGTTGGTGATAAGCCCTGTAACTTGGGGAGAAAGAGCTTGACTTCACTTGAGCTTTTAAAATGGAGAATTGAGTATTGTGATATGGGAAATACCACTGAGACACTGCCTTAGCCATAACAGCCTCTAATGTAGCCGTAGAAAATGTCAATGAAAGCCATTGTTGCTTGAAGACCTTCTTAGTGTGTTTTACCACAAGCCAAGACTCAAAAGCTGAAAAAATTAAGGAAATGGCATTGCCTCCCCATAGAGCAGCTTTGATATCATTTTCCCACAGGAACTCAATGTCCATTATGTAGGCTGTAATGGTTGATACATTCCAAAAAGGCTTGAGCAACTGCCATAAAGTGGCAATGTGCAACTCAAAACTTCCATGAGTAGTCAAGTGCAAGGTCGTAGGCAGCATGAAATTGAAGAGAGTTCCCATATTGTTCAGTGCCCCCTGGCATGCATTGTACCATTTTACTGTATCAGTGTCTTTAGTTACAGACCACGCAAACTTCGCCATTGGATGCGTCTCATACAAAGGTCTCTTAGACATTTCATCAAACAGATGCAATGCAAACAAATTCTTCTTCACAAATTTACCCACAAGATACAAATTTATCCATCCAAATTTATCATTAAAAAAATCTTCATACATGACTACAATAATACCAATATGATACGCCAGAATAAACTGCAAAAGCTGATGCCATTTGGCTTTCCAATGTGACAAATTGGAAATCAAAGATCGCAATACTTCATGTCTACGTTTGGTGGTGTTTGTATTAGTTGACGGCTGATTGCAGAGGCGAATAATATGTAATTTGACGCTCATGTGGTCTCCATAGCCCTTAATGTTGCTGGTATTATTGGCGTCATGTCGTAACCATGGAAAGGGGCCTAAAGCTTTGGCTCCTTCATTACTGAGAGTAAAACCCAGACCCTGCACACTTGTTGGAGCTTCCTGGTTGCTCAAAAATGGTTTGTTATTGTTGGTGTGGGCTGCCATTGAAGCGTTCAACTGCGGCTGTGGCTTAACAGACGGAGCTGCGATTGCTCGCAACAATGGTGATGACGAAAACAACGGCGGAACAGAATGGACGGTGATTGGCGATGGAATTCTTGGTTGTTTGCCATCTCCTTGAAGTTTGGGATGACCGAGATCGTGAAATTCGCCGTCTGCAGAAAACATCAGGACCTGATTTGATTCGCACTAGCAATGCGAGCCAAATCACGGTAAAACGGAGCAAGTGCACGGCGGACGGCCAAATCAGCGGCGACGAGTGAAGAGTCCCAAGCGTCATGGAACGCAGCACGCACTGAAGCTTCAAATGAGTCTATTGCAGCAGAGATGCGTGCATCCATGGCAGGAAGACGGGTCGGGTGGGCGTGCACAGGAGGGAAACCAGGATTCGAGAAGGATGATACCATTGATAAGATCTAATTCTCAATTCCCTTAATCAACCTGCAAGTGGCACAAGAAAGCTATGGAAGAAGAGGGAAGGAGAGAAGAAGGAGCAGAGCTCCAATATTTTTTGTATTGATTTCTTTTGTAAAATTCTAATCTGTTTTCAAACCAAAGAGCAAGTGCTCTTATACATAAAGTGTGACTACTGCCAGCTGGCACTTCTAACAAATTCCCCTAACAACAAGTAAAACCTTCAATTACAACTAACTTGACTCTTAATTTGTGAGTAAGACAATCACAATTCTAAGTTCATAACATATGGATCCATAGAACCTGCATAAAGAGCTAGCATGCTTGAGGTTTTAGCAATTTTGACCTTCAAGTCAGCTACTAGACAAGAAAATGCAGAAGAATGAAGGCCGTTTACCTTTTCATAAACTACAGGACGATTGTGGTTAGAATCTCTGATTTCTGAGATTCAGTTTGCTCAGACGATGACGGCGGTCTGGGTTGGTGTATGTGATGTCTATGGCTTCGAAGATTTTGGGTTTGATTTCTCAAGCTCGAGTTTGGAAGTCACTGGGTTTTAATTTCCCAGATCCAAGGTGTAGGGGGGGTTGCAGGTTTGGTGGAGGTGGGTTCTGGGTTTCGAATCTGAGCGCGCAGAGCGACGGATATATGGAGAAATAGGGACTAAGAGTTGAGAGGGTTTGAGAGAGAGAGTTGCGGCCTTAGGGTTTCGAAGGTAGAAATGGAAGGATGGACGACGGCTTTTTGATTGTTGAAGAGAGGCATGGGTGGTGTTGGTGTTTTTCGAAGGAAAAAAAGAAAGAAAATCTCCAATCCGAGAGGAGTGAAAGAAGCTGAGAGAGATGCACATGATTTTGTTTGGTTGGGAAATAGAGATGATGTGGGTAGAGACAGATAGAGGAAGGGGTTAAAGGGGACAGAGGGAAGTTGAGTGTGGCGTCTGGGTAGGTTAAGGAGACAGAGAAGGGTAATTCTATTAACACCCCGTAATCTTACGAAGGCACCCCATACTTTAATTTATTCACTTAAATTTCCTCCTTTACCTCTATTTAATTTAAGTTAATAGACAAAGAGAAAATTCCAGTCACCTAACTATTCATTGGCGGCAGCAACATCTCATGCAAACAGAGGCAAAAAACGCCCAACCAGTCGTAATTTCTCATCACGATAGCACAACTCTCTCTATTGCATTTTCATCTGATACTCTAGAAGAAATGTCTCTTTTTTTTTATGTTCTTTTGAAAGTGGGAGACAAAGAAGGGCCACGATGGGGTGGCTTGTGCGGGACAACGACGAAGGTGATAAAGGTAAAGGAGTATCCGGGTTGATAAGTCGAAATGTTGGATTGTAACCAAAGAAACAGGAGTTTCCGGCTGATGTTTATGGAGGTAATCAGATATACTTGGTTGTCGAATTGGGGCTGCTGAGTGTGCTCTTTGTTTTTTGGAGTGGGGGTGTGGGGTGGCTTTAGAAGAATGAAGGACAAAGTTGGAATTTTTGAGAATTTTTTTTAATGTGAGGTGTTTTCATAAAATTGTGGGGCGTGTATAAAACGGTGGGGTTAAGTGAGAGAGAGAAAAAAAAAAGGTAAGGGGTATGTGGACTTTGAAAAATAATAATAAAAAAAATAATTGTGTTTTTAGAAGTAAAATATTAGCACAAATGATATATTTGAGTTCATTTTCTTTACAATGATGTCTGGGAAAAATATTTGTGCCAAATTTGGAGAAGAATGGGCACATTTATTGGTAACAAATACAAATTTTTTTGTGTGTAAAATTGGTTAGTTACCCATAAAATAAATAATTGTGTCCTCAATTTTGTATTTATAGGCGATTTTTCTTGTAGTGAATCAACTCTCCCTATTTCCCCTCTAGCTAGCTAGTAGCTAGGCGTTTATAATTTTTTTAGGTTTATAGACGGTGGTAGATTGGCAATCGTCCCTCTCTCTCTCTGTTCATATCTCACTTTTTTCTGATACGCTCAAGGGAGAAGGGACCGATATATATGGACAATTATTTGCTTCTTTCTTGGTTAGAAATCATGACAAGTTAAACATTCAAATGAATAATACAACTAAAACTACAGGTGTCTGAAGGAGAAAAAAGAAAATTAAACCTAAATTTAGGGTGTATGGTTGAGGATTATTTGCTTAAAACTCATACTCTCAGTTATTTTTAGGTTAATAATGGTGTTTCTTTAGGCATTCACGGTTGGTCTTATGGGTAATTTGGAGCGCACAACTGAGATAAAACAGAGAGATTCCCCGACATATCCGGTCATGAATTCACAAACCTCTACATTTGAATTTGGTGCATTTTCTTACATTTTGTTTCTTTGGAAGAGTGAAGAAAACAAAAACATTGTCTTTTATTGAATATACATTTATTACATAACATATATAACCCAAGCCAAAACAATGGAATGTTGAAAATAAATCAGAATATGATGATGGTTTCCAAATTTTAATAAAATGTAGTTAAAAACTTGGAAGTTTCCATGTTTATTATTCCCAATTGGTCTGGATAACAAACCATAGCAGTAAGGCGAGGGCTACGTACTATGAATTGGACAAATAATTACAACCAGGAAAAGGAAAGAAGAAAGGAGATGAAGACTGGAAGAGAATGAACATCAGAAGAGACGGTTACATTGCCACTGCCATTGCCAGCAGCACTGAATTATCAAGCCCCATCAGGGCCTCTGGCGCAACACATGACATGACATCACCCTCCCTGGCTTGTTAGTCGTTGGCTTCTTAGATACTCAACGAGTTTCTGCAGCGACAATTGATCAATTGAAACTTAATTAGTTGGGCTGTTGAAGAGGCTGATTGAGCAGGGAACTCCAAATGCAATCTTCCCCGGCCTCAGTCTTCGACCCATCATCTTGATTAAGATCTCGAGGTCGCCACAAATCTATATCAAGCTTGTCCTTTGGAAAGTCCAGGAGTGCATCAGGATGATCAGTCTGATCATGATAGAAGCACTGCCCGGAGAAAGGAAATTGATCATCCAGTACTGCCAGTGGTGATGAAAAATTACCATGTCCAGGAGTAGTACTACTGGTAGTCAAGGTGGATGTGTCGACATCCAGTACTGCCAGTGGTGATGAAAATGAGTCTTCAAAATTCAAGTCCTCTGGTTTGGATATTACACTATCTTTCAGCCACGGAAAATCAAATACTCCTAATGCCAAGTTGGAATCCGAATCTGATGTCTTATAACTGCTACTATTACTACTAGTGCTGCTGCCGCTGCTGTTGTATTCAAGGTCGTTTTTGAAGTCCAAAATACCACAGTTAGGATCTACTAAATTTGTCTTCGCATGCTTCTCTGAAAAAGAATAACAAGAAGAAGAAGAAGAAGAATCGTTGTGGTCTTCATCTCCTTCTCTTACTCTCTTTTTGCTGTCACGCTCCATGTTTTTTTTACAAAACCTCCCTGCTAACGAAATATATATATATATATATATATATATATATATATATATATATCAATATCAGAAATATAGAGGATTATTAATACAATGAAACAAACTCATGGCAGAGCAAACAAGTGCAATGCTCCTCTTCTGATCTGATTTTCGGGTATAATTATTACACAATACGTATGAAAGTACTCACCAAAAGAACACGGCTAACAATGTAAGTACTAATGATACAAATGAGAATTTTTTACACACAAATTAAAGCGTAAAGTTGATTCATGAGCAAGGACACATGCTAATGAAAATCATGTGGTGAGCTAGCTAGGCTATATATCAAATTATTAGCTAGATGCTTAATTTAAAAGTGGCAATGGCAACATACGTTTGCATAATGAAATTTTGAGAATAAATAAAACGATGCATGAGCTGAATGGCGGACAAAGATGAACCTTAAAATTGTGACCTTGAGATTCAAAGATTAAATTGAAGTGGTATTATAAAAAAAAGAACGAGAAGGTTTGATCTGATGGTAGTGCTAAAACTTTGTATATCAAATCTATCTTATGACTATGAGTGTCATGCAACTGCTAGCGCTATTTACTGAAAATTTTCATCCATTACGTACCTGTACCTGTATTGGGCTAGGTTGAGGCTGAGGTTGTATATCTGGAGCTGTTGTTCAATGCATATAATTTCTGCTGAAGAAGAATGATGATTACAAACGAGTTTTGCTCACAAACTACGCGATTTTAAGCTAAACCGTCTCTAACCACACACACTCTTCCATCATGCTTTTACCCACCCATATCTCTCTTTCTCTCTCCTTTTGCAAGAATGAATGAAACGAAACAGATGGGTTGTGTTAGTTCCTCTTTTTGCGTTTCTTTCCTTTCTTTCTTGCCTCTCTATTTTTTCAGTTTCCAAGTTTCCAAATACCACAGGCAAAGCCATCAGCATATCCCATCTTTTCCTCCTTTGCTTTTTTTTCCTTCTTTTTTGTCTCCACTAGTTTTGCCACGTCATAAACCCAAAGCAACGTAAGTTTCTTACAATTTCCCTTCTCGGCTCAACAATTGATTCACTCAGGAAAAAAAAAAAAATATATATATATATATATAAAGAACCAAAGTTCATTCTATTTTATTGTCTAACAAAGCTAGACTAGATGTATACTAATCTTCTCCGTCTAGGGTTCAGGATTAGAAACGGAGCGAAGGTATCCGCAGTTGAATTCAAGAAATAACGAGTCCGTCCTCAATTGTATTCAAGACAACAAATATAGCAATTCTGCATATCATGATTTTTTAAACTTAGGATATAATTTGGATCGTTAACAGGGCTCCTCGTAGGTTGTTGCCCTTCACAACCAACTATATGCGGAAACCTTACACTTGATCAGGTAGTATCGTGATCTCCAATGCAACGGAAAAACAACTTGCATCTATGATCTAACCTTTTGTGTGTCCGTATAGTCTATTTTCGACGTTCATAATTCACAGCACTTTTGCACGCATTTTGCATCATGCTTCGCATTGCCTATGTGAAACAATCAGGTATATATATAATATTTCAGTACCTTAAAGTTGAAGTTGGTTCCAGAAGAGGAAGCTTGTCGCATCATAGATCACAAGCATGTAAAACGCAGCGGACTCAAACACGAACAACCAGCTAATGAGTTAATTTGGTACGCAATGCAAACAGGACCATGAAATTAGGACTATCAGTAGTCCCCACAAGTACAAGAGCCATTGCGAAAATGATGGAACTGCTTGGTGTCCCTCACAATGATTTGTCTCCCTTCCATCTTTGACACGTATATAATTGCTGAATGACAATCACCACAAACCCTGAATGTCTTCTTGATCCGAATGGTGGAGCCAGGAGTGTTAAGAATTGCAAATGTTGGAGCAAGCTTCTACTTTGGTGCTGCAAGTCTGCAACTTGACTTCCCTCTCCTGCTGATCCACAAAGAAAAGTACGTGGCTAGTGTCTGGGACGTATCCAATCTCCTTTATCTTCATGCTAATCCTCTCCCACATCCTAAGGAACTCTACTCTTTGCGGGTGAGCGGGTGAGCATCATCTTTTGCTACAAACATGTGGACGGCATTCTCAATCTCTACCCAACTACAAGCAGGTTCCTTTTTCACCCGGCCTTCTTATATCATCCTCCTCAACTTTGCAGCGTCACTCCATCTGCCAGTGAGGCATAGATATTACAAAGTATGACCTGGGGCCTGAATCATGGGGATCAAGCTCAAAAACACGTTCAGTAGCATAAACACCCAATTATGTGTTCTTGTGCAACCTGCAAGCACCTAACAAAGCTCCCCAAACAGCTGCAGCAGGTTCAATCAACATTCCTCTTATGAACTTCTCCGCTTGACCAAGCAGACCTGCACGGCCAAGAAGATCAACAATTGTCACAGTGTGAAACCTGTAGTTCTATGTTGTACTTTTTATCAAGTCAAAATAATAGTGTCCATCCAAGAGACCGGCATGCTACATGCTGTAAGAACACATAGGAAGGTTATATCATTAGGCTGGATTCCAATTCTCAGCATTTGTTCAACAGTGCACAGTTTCCCTTCCAATCCCATGCTGGGCGTATCCAGTAAGCATTGATTTCCAAGAAACGAACATCTTGTCTAATCTACTTTTCAGAAACCTTTTTTGCATCCTCAATGCTGCCTGATTTGGCATACATGTCGAGAAGAGTATTCACCACAAAAGCGACGAGGGTAACAGCCGATTTGATCATGTGGGCGTGAACCCACTTGCCTTGCTCCATAGACCCTGCATTGGCACAAGCAGTCAATACGTTAGAATAAATGAAATGGGTAGGTTTGAATCCCTCCCTCAGCATCTTCCAAAACAACCTGATATGAGAGCATGTTCGCCTTGAGCCTTCCTAGTATGCCCATTGCCCAGCAATCAAAGCATTCCAAGAGTCCTCATTCTTGGTGTCCAAGGCATCAAAGACCAACTGGGATTCATGGATATGGTCACACCTAGCAAACATGTTCACAAAAGCACTGGCCACCAGTCCATGGCGGAGCATCTCAGGAAACAAAACAAGGGAATCCTGAATTCGACCGTGTTGAGAATAGCGACAAATCAAGGCAGTCTAAGTGAACAAGCCCTTGCGAGGCATTTCATTGAACAGGTTGCGAGCGTCTACTTTTAAACTCGGAAGTAAGGACCTGTTCGGCTGTTATGGAGGCTGCCGCGGAGAAGGTCCTTATATACCAACTCTAACTAGTTTGTGAATGCCACTAGCAGCTGCATTGTTGTAGTTGTACGACTGTACAACTCTAACCTGTTCGACTGATTCGTTAGATAATTCTTAAATTTTAGGTTATAAACCTACCCCAACTTGCTCTAACTCTTAGGCCAAATATGATTTCTAACCCAAAAAATCTCATTTTTGGGCAAATTTAGGCTTAGAATTCTTCCTGGATTAGTAGGCTGACCCACTATATATGAGTATTTTTTTTAGTTTTATATTTATAAATTTATTGAAACTAACGTCTAAGATCTTATATGATTAAATTTAACGGTAAAAAAAATTATCTAACAGTCCAAATTTAAATCAAACAGTTAAAATAATTAAAAAAAATCTTTAAAGTGTTTCATATTCTTTTGTAGCATACCACGAGTCACATGATGTAAATTTAGTGATTTTTCAATATTTACCGAAATCTGACTATGTTTAGGTAAAATGTTCATAAAATTAAGTTAAGATAGTCTACATAACTTTTTTTTCTCAAAGTTACTTTAAGAAAAAAAATTATCCTAAATTCGAATCTCGGGCTAAAAATTTAAACCAGAAAGGTTGAAGCATAAAAACTGTTCATGGGTCCCAAGGGTTGGAGATGTTGGGAATAAGTGAACTTAACCTCATAATGAGCTCGCAATGATATATATGATTTGAATTTTCTTTTGTTGAGAATTGAACCAAAGACTTCTCACCTGTAAGCGAATAAAAACACCACTAAACTGTAGTACTAAGTAGATATAAACGAGAGACTTATAAAGTCATATTTGGAATAAACAAAAGATTGGTGTAAAAAAGTTTTGGTACATTGGAGATGGTACGAAGGAGGAATATTGGGGGTGACCCATGTGACGAGATGGGCTGAAAAAGAAATGGGCCAGAAAATGGGGGAAGGCCCAAATGGGAAAGAATAATTAGAGTTGGGTGGTGATGTTGGTGGCGGAGGAACGGACAGCGAGGAAGGAGAGCGGTAGTATGGAAGAGAAAAGAAGACGCTTTGCTCCGCTGTAAACTGTTATTGCTTTTGATTTGGTTTGACCTCTCTCTCGCTCGCTCTCTCTCTCCTGTTTTATTTCGGTGGTTTTCTTTTTTTCCCCAACCCCACTCGGGCCACTGCCTTTCCCTTGTGGATTCCGTTCCGTGTACAAATTACATTTACAATTTACAATTTTCTATAAAATAAACAACACAGACAGACATTAGTTTTGGAATTAGAATTCAATTTGCGATCATTCGATTCGATCAAACTTGTTGTTTGTGTGTGTTTGTTGATAAGACAGGCAGAGAATGTCTTACGCTTATTTGTTCAAGTACATCATCATCGGCGATACTGGTACTCCTCCATAAAAAATAATTCTTATTTCTTTGATTTCGTTTGATTTGTGCATCAATCGAATTTAATTTAATTGTTCTTCTGTCGGTTTTGATGAATTTCGATTTGGTATTTTCATAAGTGATTTGTTGTTGTGTTGCAGGAGTTGGAAAATCATGCCTTCTTCTTCAGTTCACCGACAAGAGGTTTCAGCCAGTGCACGATTTAACTATTGGCGTTGAGTTTGGAGCCAGGATGATCACCATCGACAACAAACCTATCAAGCTCCAAATCTGGGACACGGTTTCTTTCTTTCTTTCTTTTTCTTACGAATTCATTTATTCTTTCATTTTAATTCGTTTTTTATGGAATTAACATAATAATTCAGTTCAATTCAATTGTAAGCTTTTCGATTTACGATTTTCTTTGCATGCGAATAAATTTGCAATATATTTGTATATATGTTTTAGGCTGGCCAAGAGTCTTTCAGATCCATTACCCGATCCTACTATAGAGGGGCAGCTGGTGCCTTGCTTGTCTATGACATCACCAGGTATTCTTTCAATTCTAATCTCATTCTCAACATAATAATTTTGTATTCTTGCTGCACTTTCGCCATGCGGCATCTCTTACTTTGGACGATGGATTAACCCCGTCTGCCTTGATTCACTATGAGTTTCTCAGAGTGTTTTTTTCAAATTAAATTGTTTTTGGAGAAGGTATTTCCATCACAATTCACAAGGAAAATCATATCTCGTGCTTGTTTAATCCAGTTTGGTTAGGCTTAAAAACGCTCTTGCTGTTTTTCCTATTGCATTAGAGAAGTAAAAGCTCAGGCGAGATCCCAGTAATCTACTGGATTCATATGCTAGTGTAGATAATGAGCATTAAGCACCTACTATGACATGTTAAGGCACCGGCAATGACAATAATTCCTTCTTTTACTCTTAGGAGGGAAACTTTTAATCACTTGGCTAGCTGGTTGGAGGACGCGAGGCAACATGCAAATGCAAACATGACAATTATGCTCATTGGTAATAAGTGTGATCTAGCTCACAGACGGGCTGTGAGCACAGAGGAAGGGGAGCAATTTGCAAAGGAGCATGGCTTGATCTTCATGGAGGCCTCTGCTAAGACTGCTCAGAATGTTGAGGAGGTGACAAAAGATTGGCTTTTTGATGGACATTGTTTTTTTAAAGAAACCTTTGATATCTTCATCATGTTTTTTTTTTTCTTGCCTTTATTGGTAACGGTTACATTTTCCATTCAGGCATTTATAAAAACTGCTGCAACCATATACAAAAAGATTCAAGATGGAGTGTTTGATGTATCAAATGAGGTTAGCTTTCTCTCTTTATGAAATATTCCTTACACGTCCTCCTTATCTTTTACTTGATATTTATTAAGGGTAAATTACATTTTTCACCCTCAAATTTGGGTGTAATTGCAACCCCATACATCATCCTTAAAACATTGCAATGTCATACACAAACTTGTATTTTAGTTGCAATTTCATACATCGTTAGCCTTTTTTTAAAAATATGTAGAAGAGGTTTGTGGTATGGGTTTGTATTTGCACCCAAATTTGGGGGTGCAAAATGTAATTTACCCTTTTTATAAAAATATGTAGAAGATTTTTGTGGTTTACTTATGTTCTCATTAGTGCTTTCTGTTTGGGAGGGATGATAAAAGTGTATTTTTGATATGGCAGAGTGCTTTGTGAATGCCAAGTGGAATGATTGACTGTATGGTTTCATGGAGCCATTATATGAATGCTTTTTCTATTGGTTGGTTACATAATAATTGTCCTCTGTGATTGCAAATTATGGTTGCTTAGATTTCTAGTTGCCTAAGAATGTGATGGGTAAGCTCACATTTGAAATATATAAAGACGAGGCTGAGTCTCAGCTCATGCTCATTGTATTGACTCTGAAAAAATGATATCCCGATAGATACTAAATACCAAATGAACAAAAACCCTTCTTGTGAATGCTCAGAGACAAATTGAACAGTTTGTGATATTGAATGAAAGAGAGCTGTTATGAGCTTATTCCCGATTCTTGGTCTTGTTTGCAGTCTTATGGCATAAAAGTTGGATATGGTGGAATTCCGGGACCATCAGGAGGTAGAGATGGCGCTTCCTCTCAAGCTGGAGGCTGTTGTAGTTGAAGTTTGATCTTATTTGCCATATTGAAAGCAGTTTATCAGGCGTCGTTTACATTCTTGGGGTTTTTTTTTTTTTTTTTTGTGTGGTTAAATATGAAGATTATGGATCCTTTCTTTGTATAAACGTCTTAAAATGGAAATACATGTATAATTCCTTGTCATGTTCTAATTTGATTGTAAATTAGTCATTTAAGGTTAGCTTGTTGAATGAAACTGCAGATTGTGAATAGACAGTTACTCATCGTTATTTATTGGTGCTGATCTTGGCGTTTCTATACGTTGCATGCTGAAAACCGATGGTGGCTAATACCTTCGATTTGAATTTTCCCAATACACGATTGTCTTTCAAAATAACCGAGTCCTGGAGTCGGTACCTAGTACCTATACCTAGAGACTATAGAGATGAAATTTGAGCCTTGGAAAACTTTGAATAACGTCCAATTATCAATGTATGCATGGTAAACTTTGAATAACGTCCAATTATCAATGTATGCATGGTCGCGATCTTCTCCCATAGTTTCTGTCCCTTTCATTCTTCATAAGAGTAAAGTGCTTTTGCATATGGAAGCGTTTCTCGTCTGCCGGGGAAAATCAAAATCTGATAGTTGTGAAATCACGTCTATACCATTAGTATTTGTTCATACAGTATTTCTTCCAGCCTTTCTGTATAGAGCAGCAAAGTATGGGATTTTTTATTGGTATGGAGTACGGATGACTCGGTCGCATGGTTTCCGACCACACACCAAAAACACCCCCGCGACATTATAAATTTGAAATGACTATACACGCGAATTCATGTATCACTTTTTATATTTTTTTTCACATAAATACGAATTCAAATATATTATTCAAGCTAAGACTGTCTAAGATTATTAAATTTGAATCCGTCTAAACTAAAATACTTATCTGAATCAATAATGTAGAACAATTTTCCAACTAGTTGTGGCAGGAACTGTTACTTTTAAAAGATTGTCGTCTTCATCTCTAAATTCAAATTCCTCGTCGTCTTTGGAGTTCACTGAGCAAGCTTTGGGCTTTAAACTAGAGTAAGCGCCAAAGCTACCACCTCCTCTTCCCTTAATGTGTATTTCACTGCTAGAGTTATGACTAAAGCACTCAACTGCTTCAACAGCTCCACCGGAATTGTACATGTTCAATAATCCAATCGCTGCAAATTCAATGTTTTGCTTGTAAACCTGTGGAAGTAGAAATCACCCACAAATTTATAATTGTTTTAACACTAATCAGTGTACTCTTTTACATACTTTTAATCCCGATTCTCAAGAGACGCGCTCAGAAGCCAACCTTAATAGGAGATACAGTAAAGACATCGCATTGGAGAACTCTTAATGCAACGTCAAATGACTTATCCTTTGGTAACCGAGACAGACGCCCTGAAATTGTATGAAACATATGTCAAAATACGTTGAATTTAACATTGGGTGCCGGCCAGATGAATTAACTGGTGTTTTGGTGTGGCAAAAGGCAAGATATATAATCCTACCTTTTGCGAAGGAATAGACCGCACAATCTCCTGTCCACAGCTTGCCAGAAACCTCGTCGAAATACTCAATATCTGCAGGGGTCACCTTCCCAGACACTTCAGCACTAACTTCTACCGGAACAACTTGTTCTAGACAAGGCCAGTTCCCTGCTCCTTGGCAATTGAAAATGCCTAAAACTCCATTGTATTTGTTCAAATTCCATATCTTTAGAAGGCTACATATAACATCACCAATCAGAGAAGAGAAGATTTGTTACTTGTTAGAAAAGTAATATCATATATTATATTGAACAATTTAACAAGGTAATTGGGAGGGACATCACATTACCTCTTCCCATCTGTAACGGGGTCGACAAATAAACAATCCCGTGATGGCCTCCCGGGGAATCTAGCTCGCAGAATTGATCCATCAGGAAGTACAAGCCTTTTAAGTATCTCGAAATCATGATGGCCAGGTTTGTCACTGTTGTCAATAGTGGCGTGTTGTGAAGTTAGTCACAGCTACACCATTTTGAGAAATGATTAAGCATCATGATCCGTCAATCTAATCACCGGCGGAACTGGTACTTTTAAAGATATGCATCTGCAAGTAAAGTGCATGCATTCTAGCATACAAAGTACAGAAGCAGATAATCCTGAAATGCATTAAATTATACATTTTCCAGTGAAATCTTACATGTACAAAGTAGAGAAGCTGATAATTGTGGATGACATTCATAATGCCATACAAAAGACACTCCAAATAAAAGAATTGGAATTACTCCAAATAAACTCCTATGCAGTAAATTAGTGAGACTTTCATAATGCCATACAAAAAAAAAATAGTTAAAAGACGACATTCTAAGATAATCACTTCATTTGGACACGGTTAAGACTGAGAACAGTAAAAGAAAATGATAAAGATTCAAGCAATGGACTGTCAATTTGATGCCTTCATTAGCTCATGTAATTGTTATTTCACTGTTACTTACCTAACATAGACTCCGCATCCTCCCACAGCTCTAGCAGCAGCATGGAACTCAGCTGCTTCATGACGGCTCTGAAAGTTGTAATTTAATGTATTAAATTCTGCATTTGGAAATACAGCAATAGGCTGAACTTAACAGTACGTAAGGAAGCCACAGCAATAGCATACATAGAACATGTCCCAATCTGGGAGAACAACTTCACCAAGGAATATGCTGTTGAAAGCCACAGCAGCTATGTGCAGTGTCTGTGTTGTTGGGTTTTTCGGGTAGTAATCATCAGATGCTCGAGTAATAGCACTTCTTTTTGAACTGCAACACACAATTGGGCGGTTACCTTACCATGTAGAAACCTTAAAGCAAAGAGACTGTTGGTCACAGTTCGTTATGGCTTTCAACAAGAATGATATACAGGTATGTCTGTAACCTGCACTTAGCCCACATAAAAGTAGACATGCCCATCAACTGATGCTATGTAGTTACATGCATCCACTGTATGAGTCAAATACTGGAGGTCCTAAGTTTTTCCAAACAAAATCTGATGGGGGCATTGTAAAGCATAAGTATATACTGGTAAATGGAGTCCGTGTTTTGGCCCATGCAGCAGATGATGCTGTTGTCTTGGAAGTGGGTGGCTATGGACTTCTCCAGTGCCTGTTGGAACTGTCTGGTCAGAGAAACTCGCCCTCCTAAATCAGCTGATATCGTCTCCAGTATGTTCTGAACATCAACCTTAACCCCATCAACGTTTTGTGAAACAAGATAACCGTGTAGATCATCATAAAACTGATACACCTTTGCAGGATCTATTGTACCAACACCATATTTCTCCATGCAATCCATAGCTAAGTCCCTCATATTTGCCAAATTCCCAGGTGACTGCACTGGGTATCTTAGCTCAGGATTGTACTTTTTAGTTCCAAGAGCATTTGGAAGAAGCCCTCCCCAGTATCCCAACAGGGCATGCCACACATAGACGTACCTGGGAGTTTGGGAAAAAAAGCAAAGCATTAATGGAACATAAATGCAAAGATTCAAGAGAAAAGATCTAAGATACATGAGGAAATCACAGATTTCACTCTATTTCTCCAAGTGGTAAGTATGTTCGACAATTGCAGACAAACTACACCTCAAACCACGTTATGTCTACTTCTAAACATCAGATACATTGCCATCACAGCCCCAAAATTGGGTCCGGTAAATATCGGTTTTTAAGGGAAAAAGAGAAACTTTGAGGTCTAGAAGAAGACTCATGGTTTTGGGGAAAGATGATAGGAAACAGCTTTCCTTGAAGATTTATGCAGCTGTAAAATGGGTTCATTGGTGATAAGACTTGACAGACAATTAACGAACAAGTCTATATACCATCAGAAACAGTTTTAAGTAATAAACCAAAGTTCCAAGTTCAATAAATTTTCTTGAAACTTGTACTAAACTCCAATTAGTTTGAAAATGTACCATATAAATTAAAGCAGACACATATAACTACAGCTTATAGTGAATTATGGAAGTTGTCCAAGATTGTTGCTGAAATTTTCAGGCCGCTGCAGTTTTCTGGTTTGTTTATATTTCACAATATCTGCATAAACTGTGAAAGTAGTTAAAATGTGCATGATGGAAATCTTACTTAAGACCAAAAGTCCCCTTGATTTCAGATACAAAATCCTTGAGACTACTTGGCGTCTCACTTTCACCCTCTTTATTAGTTGTCCTACGAAACTTGTTATTTTCTTGAATGCTATTTAATCTACCACCAAACCTGCAGTTAGGGGAAAATCAGTAAGCCTGATTGCGCTTTTAATTAATTAGCAAGAAAAGATTATGAACATACTGTGATCCGTCAACAAATGGTTCCCCTTCTATTTGGAACTCATTTGATGTATCTTGCCATCCATCGTCAATTATCAAAAACTTCGCTGGAGTACCACCCTCTGATAAACTGTGTAATATATATATATATGTGTGTGTGTGTTTGTTTGAATGAGATTAGTGTTTAAACAAATGAGTTGTCATAAATATTACTGGAGAAAAGATTAAGAGGCAATGTAATTGAGTAAATATGGTGGTAATCATATAAAGAATTCACAATAACATAACAAGTCTGCTGCTTAAACTTGTATGAATTTATTTCTATCATTCCCAAGATACTACAACCATTCAGACATTTTGTTGATGCACAAAACCGGCACAAAACCGGAGGTCTTGGAACAACGTAAATCCGACCGTGAATCTGCAAGAAATGTAAATAACACAAGATGTATCGTGGTTCACCCTAATGTTTGGGCTACGTCCACATTGATTGTATTTCTCTGACTGTATGTATGGATTACAAGGATGAGGAGGAGTCCCCCAGAGAAAGAGAGTGTTGTTGTGTTTGTGAGGATATTGCCCTCTGTTGGGTTCCCAGAGTCTGATTTGAAAGGGGGGAGGAGTCCCCTCTTATAGAATAAGGGCTCCTCCTTTTACATAATCATATGGGCTGGGTAATGAGGCCCAATGTATCAAAGTCTGAGGCCCATTATGTGTGGTACCAACACATTTCATTCACAAAGACAAAGCAATGCAATATTCAGTTGGCGCAGCATCTTCATAATGAACTTCTTTATATGCAAGCTTTACACAGGAAAATAACAAAGTTAAATGAACTTCTAGCTCGACATGATTCTCATCAAAGTTAAACGAACTTCTTTAAATGCAAGCTTTACACAGGATCCCTACCAAATCATTATGGTCTCATAACTAAGATTATTCTAGCTATCAGTGCAATTGGTTTCTGATGACATATCAATTCCAGATCATTTTGAAGGAGACTAAATAAGCAAAGCGCTTAGATTTACCTTTTCAGGCCATCTCTGATTCCTTGAGGATTAACCCCTTGATAAAAGGCATCCCAGGTACACCAGCCAAAGCAATCTAGCATTCCAGGCATCTGCACCAGGAAACAATAACAGGATGTGTTATTGATCAATGATCATAGTTGTTGATGAAATCCAGAGATATTATAGAACTTTGGTCCTCTAGGTCTAAAACATTGGCTGACTTGCCTGTTTGGATTCTCTAAGAGAGAAAGTTCCAAAATGCTTCTCCAAAATCCTGAATATGACAACAAGTTGAAATACTTCAGTCTCACTTCAATAAATTAGTAAAGTAGAAAATGATAAATTGTGAACCCAAGAAGCAAGTTTAAAGGTCTTGTTTCTTATACTACTTACGATACAATGTGGTGATTCACTTCATATCAGAGATGTTTCACTGTAGTATAAAGGTTATGTCATTTTGCTTCTTGATCACTAAGCTAAGTATTTGCTTGAAACTCAAAAATGTGCTCAGAGAGCTAACCTACTTCATAGATTCCTTCATCAGATCGAAAGGATGGTTCCCGCAATTCACAAAAACTGCTTTTGGGGATTGGGAGGTAACGATAGCTGGGTCACCTATCAGATTATATAATAAACTTCATATCATTAGACTATCAAAAGAACCAATACGGGTGAGAAGGTCAGAGGGAACAAACTCTTCTCTCGTCTCTTTTCTTTTCTTTCCCCTCATCCCTCAGTACCAAGCTTGAAAACAAATTCATATTGTACATTGTGCTTCATAAGAAAAAGTGCACAAGCACTAAAGCCAAGCTCAATGAAATGTGCGATAGCAGATTAGAATCATCCAGTAGGCAGTATATCATGTTATATCTTTAACAAAAATTAAAAACAATTCGTGTAGAAATAAGGGAAGAAAAAGGAAGACGGTTGATTATAAGCAAAATATTTGAATAGAGATGAATTTATGAATGATTACCACTTTCGACACAAAACTCAAGTTCATTCGATGAATTCCCCTGCAAGCTGCTTCTAAATTCACCATCTAGAACTGGCAAGAATAAGATATAATTAGGAGGAGTAGCTTCTTCGGCTGACTTTGCTTGCAGGAGCAACATCTGAGTTTCAACTGGGATGTCACTTCCTGTATTGCCCACTCTTGGTATCATCCACCAAAGTTTAAATCTAAAAAGACTAAGCAATCTGACATCCCTGCATCACCACAAAAAAGATCAACATACAACTGAAACATGGCGATTGGGGTATGAAATCAACGGTAATGAAGACTAAAATGCATACCGTACGAGTCCAAGCTTAAAAACATGACGTGAAGAAGCAGTTTGAGAAGTGGCACCGACGAATGCGGATGAGTCGGTCAATGGTGTGACGACCACATTGTCAGGCACGTGTGTCAACACATCGTTACCATCGACACTGAGAATACCATCTTCAAAGACAGGTTTTGTACTCCATGGGGATGCAGTGTTACTACTTCCACTAGTGCTGCTGTTAGGACGCACAGACCCCCGTCCCCATCCACATCCCCGTCCGCGTGAGAAGATGATCCTGTGGTTGATGTTGAGTGGAAGGGCTCTGGAAGACGGAAAAAAGACGGTGGTCTGGAGCATGGCGATCAAAGCAGGTGTGCAGGTGTTTGTGACTTGTATATACTACTAGTTAACAAGTGAACGTATATAGTATATTACTTCTACAAGCTAGCTAGTGTAACTGTACATTTGGCCGTTATATATAAGAAGCGGGAGACAATGTGGGAGGACCGAGGACTGAGGAGGAGCTTAGAAGGAGTGAGGAGGATATGATATGATATGTGATGGAAGTTGGTTCCGAGAAGATTGATTGATTGATTATAATTAAGTGGAGATGGAGATGAGGGGATGGGGATGGGATCAGCCTCCTTAACTTCCACCATTCAGCGCTTGCTGTCCACATTTTACATTCGGGACCTGACCTCACCCCTTTACTCGTCTGTCTTTCGCTTTCTCTTATTTTTCAATCTTCTATGGGAATTAAAATATCCTCTCATCTTCCATGACAATTCTGCCCTCAGTAGTAGGAGAAAGACTTTATACGGCCACCATGTTAATAATACAATAATATAATATAATATTGTGTAATTTTTTATTCATGTGACATTATATTATTAGCATAGAATGTTATGGATATACTCGTGCAATTGGTAAGGATCGATAGACATTTATATTGAAAAACCTACCAAATCGGCTTGTTTAGTGTCAGTTTTTTTTTTTATGTATTTTTTAACATCAATGGTTAAACTCGTCGGGCCGGATGTTTAAACCAAACTAAATGACCTCCATTAATTTTTTTTTTTTTCTTCTCCTTTCAAAAACTTAAGCGCATTAAATAGGTTGAACAAGAGATTTACAAGATATCAATTAATTATAAACTCGTTGAAATTTTCATTAGAAATTCAAGCGCTTCACAGAAAGTGTTTCTTCAAGAAACATTTGATAAGTGCTTTCCTAAAAAGCATTCTATGAGAAATAAGCAATTCTTAGTCTAATATCATATGCAGTCATAAACGCTTTTGGCTGTCAAAAAGTGTTTTAAGCCCTTCTAAAAGTAAACCCCAAATAGACTCAGATTGGATTGTATAAGATAAACTCGCTAAATTTAAGGCATATTAAAACAAGAAATTGAGACCAACTTCCAAATTTTATCAAAATTAAAATGGAAGATAAATTAGATATGAAGAAAACTTATATAATATAGTAAGATATCAACACTTTATAACTCATCTATCTAATTCCATCAACTTAAACAAAATGTGAAAGTCGGCTTTATTTTATAGTTTAACATACCTTGAATATAGTGAGTTGTCCAATTTAATCCTATTTAAGCACCAAAAATTGCCTAAGATTTGAATCCTAAATTAGGAACCTCCACCAAATGTAATCGACTCAATATTACCCTTCAGGTAACGTTGTGTGCCAAATGAAATAATAACTATGGAGCCAAAAATAATCACAAGCCGACATGTGGATTTTTGGTAAAAAGGACAAAGTTACTCTTGAGACACACCGGTTGTCCTACGCGTGAGCAGTGGACAATCATTCTTTAATCAAGCCAAGAGTGTCCAAAAAAGGTAACCAATTCCAAATTATCTCATCCATCCTCATCTTAGGTAATTACTTCATAACCTACAAATTATTCCATATAAATGGAGATTAATTGGCTAATTAATGAATTAATCACCAATTAAATCACTCATTTTCACACAAAAAACCTCTAAGGGCCAGCCACCTCCATTCCCTATATATATGACCCTATTTTTTCTAAAAAAGGGGTTCCACACTCTTGCAAAACTCCCAAAAACTCTCCAAATACTTTTCTCTCTAAATTCTAACTTTGGCATCGGAGGTTCTTCGGCCAAAGCTCCCCACCCCCCATTCATCGTGGGCGCGTAAGGCTCTTGGCCTTACCTAAGGTGTTAATTGTTTTGTAGGTGCAATTTTGTCCAAGAAGAAGAAGACGGAAATTTGCATCCACAATAACTCACTATATTCAAGGATTGTTGTAGTAAAAATAAGATTTTTGTGTTTAGCTTAAACATAAAATATGAAACTTATTCCTTCTAATTTCAACATGGGATAAGTTCATTTTATCTCTAACCTTTTCAATCCTCTAAAAATGAGAACTCATTCACCTCTGACTTCAATTAAATGATCAAATTAATTTTTATAGTTATCCAATCCACTCCAAGCCAACAGGTGTAATGTACTTAATTTGTGACGGCTAGAATCAGCCACTGCTAGTGCTCTCGTGCACAATAATTAATGCTGCATCATTGCTTAATTAAATCTTTAATTTATTCCTCGAATTGAAGAAAATAAGATACGTATAATGAAGAAAGAATATTATTCAAGTGAAAAAGAAAGAAGTTAATTTGATAAGATAGGAGGGATGGATCCCCGGGAACAAATAGCATGTGAATTCTTGACCTAGCAGCTAATTAAATTGAATCCAATCATCCCTTGCAGGCTGGGCTGTAATAAATTAGAGCTAGCAAGAAGATAAAAAGGAAGATTATAAAGCTTAAATACAACGATCTTTTAGTACTTAACCAGAAACAAATTAAAAGACTCGATTCCTAGGTAACTAGCTTAATTAATGTGAGAGTTCTTGCTTATGATGAGCTGACTACGTACTTAATTATCATGTTAAACTAAACAGCAGCTGCTGAGGCAACTACGATTGGACTCCTGACGTAGTGCTTGCCATCCGACCAGGTAAGCCCTCCAAATACATAATCCCCCTTAGCTACTCCACCTCTCTTAGGCTTCGCTTTCAGTGTCACCCTAAAGCTCTTCTCTTCCCCAACACTTTTAAACCTCAAGACATTAGGCTCAACACTCACTGAAATTCCATTTGCTCGTTTAATACGGACTGCATAGGTACCCGGAGAACCAACATTCTTGAGTCTTCTAGTCACAGTGACTGAACCAGACAATCGAGGGACTGATATCGAAGGGTAATTGAAGTCCAGAAGACTGGCTGACTCGGGGCATTTGTAGTTAGGACCCTCAGAAAAGAGTTGAATCGTTGTCTTGTTATAGCCAATGGCACAAAGAAAGTCCAAGTAATCATTGGCAGTTAGGTCATAGATCAGGCCAGGATCCATGGCACGATTTGGTCGTATATGGCCAGAGCCATAGCTGAATGGCGTTGCCTCAACAAATGATGCACTCATCATTGGATTCACAGTGTTGTCCCTCGTTCTTGCTGTGGAAAAATATAGAAGCACAAGTTAAGACACAATTACAGTCGTGTGCAGAAAAGTTAGAAATAAATAAAGTGTAATGATGATGATCACCGGTTGTCATGATTGCTGATCTAATTGCAGATGGACTCCAGTGAGGGTAGAGTGTCTTGAGAAGTCCTACGACTCCAGAAACATGAGGGCAAGACATGGAGGTGCCAGATTCCGTGTAAACGGAACCCTGCGCTTATCAAAGTCTTGATCTGTAGGGCTGGTTGCTTGGGTGTAGGCAGCTATGATATTTACACCAGGAGCGGTGATATCAGGCTGATGAGAATTAATAGACAGTGAAATAAAGCAAAGATAATCAGTTTGTCAAAGATTTTTAGCTGCGTACATACGTGGAAGGAAAACTGTATAAATATCATTGCGTACATACGTGGAAGGAAAACTGTATAAATATCATTTAGTACATAAAGACTCAAGGCAAACCTTGAGGATCTCAGGAGTGATAGTGTTGGGGCCCTGAGAGGAGAATGAAGCCATGAATGGAGCAGGTTTTGTGTTCAGCTTTGCAGTTGGGGGCGTTATAAATCCAAGTGGATCGCTATAAAATAATGTACAACAATTTAAATGAGAAAATCAACAAATAAAGCAATACATAAATTAAGATCAAGATTCCAAAGAGAGAGAGATACTCTGTAGAATTGATGTAGTTAAAGACCGCAATGCCATCTGTATAATTGATTTGGGATGCTGGTAATACGTGAGGATCAGCGATGAGTTCATTGCCACTGGCCTCATCATTGCAAAGAATCATCCCTGCTGCTCCAGCTAGTGATGCTTGTTGACCCTTGTCTACTCTTGCACTTAGTCCCCTAAGACAGGCCAAAATCTTACCCTTCACCTTCTTTGGGTCCAACGATCCTCCTAAACAAAGCATGCTGCATGGCGCTGAACGAGTATTACAACTTATTTTAAGGTTGATGAAAATATAGGATAGCTTTTAAAAGAATTAAGGTTGATTCATTCTTACGCATCCTTAGCAGAAGCATTATCTGCTTTAGCTTGTGCACCGGTTATAAGTGGATAAAATATGTCATCTGGTAAAGGCTTTGAAAGGCTCGTTCCCTGGTACATATTTCAAACTAATTAATCATGTGCACATTGACCATGAATGAAAATTTGATATCACTCTTCAGGCGAGTTTCTTGCTGTCTAGAAATATTGAAATTGATCACTAGAGATAAGTGAGTTGACGGATGGTGCATTCTTAGTACGTACCTTGAGACGCATCCCATTTCGGAGTTCAATCATAGTTTCAAACTCTCGATCCAAAGTACTTGCTCCCACGGTTATCATCCAAGGTGCAACATTTGAGACAGTTCCAGCAGCAGGACCAGAGTTTCCTGCAGAGCATACAACAACGATACCATTCTTGACAGCATGGAATGCACCAATGGAAACGCCATCACTAAAGTAATCGGAAGGGTCTCCACCAAGCGAGATTGAAAGCACATCAACCCCATCATGTATGGCTGCATCAAAGGCTGCCATGATATCAGCATCAAAGCATTCACTGCCATTGATGGGTGGCCAGCAAACTTTGTAAGCAGCAACACGGGCTTTTGGAGAGCCACCTTTGGCAGTTCCATTCCCCAGACCAAACACATTGGCTCCAGGAACAAAGTTGCCACCTGCAGTGGATAAAGTGTGAGAACCATGACCTTCATGGTCTCGCGCACTGTTTAAGGAGGACTTGACTGGTACCCCTGCATATGCAGCATATCCTTTGTTGAAGTACCTTGTGCCTATAAGCTTCCTGCAGTGGTATGCATGTATATGAAAATATGATCCATAGTGCCGGGATTAATTTATCACCAAATCCAATAATCAAAAAGAAAATTTGCCAAAGACTTAACGAGCAGTAGTAAAATTAATCTGTCTGCATTTTGTCATATCATATGAATTGTTGACTGGTTAGCACTTTAGGCTATGAGACCCAGGCAGCCACCAAAGAAAGAAAAGAAAAGCAACTTAAGGAAGGAAACCTGTTGCAAACAAATCCGGCAGTGTGATTCTGGCAGATTCCTTTCCACTTTGATGGAACGGGTCCAATCCCTTTGTCTCTAAAGCTCTCTGATTCGGGCCAAACACCTAACACAATCATAATATCATCCTAATACTCAGAATAATAATCGTAAAAAATTAACAAAAATCCAGTAACATTAATCAATCGGAGAATTAAAAACAAAGAAATGAAGGCTGTGCTGCTGAAGAAAGAAAGAAAAAGGTTATTACCAGTGTCAAGATTCCCAATGATTGTATCTTCACCAAATCTGGCCTTTTTCCACAAGGAACTGGGGTGGATTACTCCGTCCTTTTCAAGCAACATAAAGTCCCATGAGTGAGTAGTGTGCAATTTTCTTCCTCGGTTTAAGAAAACCGACACAACTTTTGGATGCTCTACATTTCGTTAGCACATCATATATCAATATGTAAGAACTATATAGCATGCATCACTAATTGATTGACGTAAAACTAGTACCAAAAAAAAAAGAAAAATAATTGATACAAGTGTTTAGAGATTGATTGATGTTCATACTTGCGATTTGAGCCGCCTCTTCCTCTTCAAGGGTGGTAGCAAAACCATTGATATGTCTTTTGTACGAGTAAATAATTGCTTCTTTCGCTTTCTCGGTACTGCACATGCACGTAAGTATAAACGATATAATTACAATAATTAACAAGAAAACCATGGACGGACGGGACATGCATTGCAGAAATGCTTATATGTGTGTGTGTGTGTGTGTGTGTACACCTTCCGAGGAATGATCCGAGGAATTCATGATGAGAATGAGTGACGCGATGAAGATCAGCTTCTGAGACTTGTGGAGCATGTGCATGCGATCCCAGGTACACTATATACGACTACGTACAAATATATACCATCATAAAGAAAACATGATTAATTTTCCAACTTTCAGGAGAAAATCAACATGCATATATACAAGTAAGTATGGTTTTACCTTTTTTATTGCAAAGGCGGGAACTTGAAACAGAGAAGATATAACGAATAACTGGAGCAAAAACGAAAGCTTTCCAAACCACATTTTTGCTTTGTCAACGGCTGGGTTGCTGTTCACTCTCACTCTCTCTCTCTGATGTCAATATGTTATCAAATATTCACTCGGAAATTTATTAAGGGCAAAAGCAAAGCAAAACAAGAGGAAGAGGTGTGTTTCTGAGTGATTAGGATACATACACATAAATAGCAGATATAACATGTTCTGTTAGAATTAAGATTACGACAGCGGAAGGAAATTCATTAAATAGAAAACTTCATTTTAATCCTTGGCAAAGATGACTTTTTGATTAAAACCATGAGTAAGATCAAAATCTAATTTTAGTCCCTTGATACATTAATAACCTCATTTATTAATTATATTTTGATTTTTTAATTATTTATCTTTTTCTTTCTAATTTTTAATGTATTAATTTTATTTCATTATAATTTTTATTTTCATTTCATTCATTGTAATATATTTTGTTGTGAACATTTAGATAAACTAATTTTTGTTATACAATATATTTTGATGTACTTTATCTTCTTCATTTAGGTATATTAAATTCATTATAATACATTTCGGTGCATACATTTAGGTACCACATTTCGGTACATACATTTCGATACAAACATTTAGGTACATTAATTCAATATAACACATTTTCGGTACTAACATTTCAGTGCATACATTTTGGTACATACATTTAGGTACATTAATTTAATATTAATACATTTCGGTGCATATATTTAGGTACATACATTTCGGTACTAACATTTAAATATATTAGTTCAATATAATATATTTCGGTACTAACATTTAGGTATATTAATTGAGTCTTTCAAGTTTGAAGAATGTTAAATAAAATTAATAAATTAAAAAACTCTTTTTTGGTCAAAAACTAAATTAAAATTTGTGTATTAATAAATTTAAATATTTAATGGGAGACATTAAATAAAATGCTCATTAATTATTTTGAATTAAGGGCACATTAGGGACTAAAATCAATATTTAATCTAACACCAGGTTTTTTTTAAATTTTAATCTTCTTGAGGGATTAAAGTTCAAAAACCCCTTAATTAAAAGACCTACATCAAAACAATCCCTTCATTGCCAAAACTCTTCTTTTTCATATTTCTTTTTCGGTTACAATGCCAAACTCTTCCTCTAGTAAAGAGTTTCATTGTATTTTTCAAATAACGAATATCTTGTAACAAATTTTAACCCATCTTTTGAACTTTTTAACTGGATATGTAACATGATTACAACAGAAAATGACAACCAATCGTAGACTAGGACTACTTGTAGAGGTCCTCAAATGATCAAATCCCTTGAATCATATATTCATCAACATCGAAATTTGCTCCTGCTTTCTTGTGGTTTAGTACGTTCGAAATTCTAATCCGGTACATGATTTCTTTCGTTGATTTTTTTTTTTTTTTCACATCATAACATCATGTAAAATGTTATGTTTTCCAAATTTCAACAAAATTGAGATGTGACTCGACAAAATATTTGAAGGCCATAAAAGCCAAGTAAGCAACTTCGATATTGCGTATCTGGAGTCAAGTGAATTCATAGGGCCATTAGATCTTGGATATTGCTTAATATTCAAATGAAAAAGTTGAAAAAGTTGAAAAATTGAATTGTTATTGAGTGTTACTAAGCCCACTTCATTGTACTATTTTCTCACAAACATTATAACATCCCCCATCATAAAAAGTTAAAATTTATATACTATTTCTTCACCCACTATTATTTCTAAAATACCCTCTTATAATTAAAATTATAAACTTGTCTCCTAGAAAAAAGAATATAAACAAATAAATATATAAAACTAAAATTAAGGACATGATCTTGCTAACGAACTTATGAGTGCAGATATAATCCTTAAGTAATTGCCGTAGTGCCACCCACCAATTTATATTTGTGTCCTTGAGCAATCTGATATTATGATTTGAGGAACTTGGATTTGCTTAGGAAAGATAATGGTTCTAATCGGCTTTAATTGATTCGATATATAGTTTTTTATTCTTAGTTCAAAGGCTTATTATATTAGCACCCCAAATATTATTGAATACACATCACATACTTAATACACCCCACATTTACTTTTTCAATTAAAAGTTATATTTATACACCTCACGTACTCTCCCTTAATACCCTCACACCCCACACTCTCAACATACACCCCACATTTTTTTACCTACACTCCACTTCACTTTTTTTTTTTAATTTTTTACTCAATGAAACTGGATTGAAGAAGAATGTGGGGTTGATAGAACGCATCCATGAATCATTGGATTGAAGAATTTCATTGTATGTACAAAACAACCAATCATATGTGCATCTGCGAGAGCTTTTGGTATCATAGCCAAAGTGGCGAGTAGCTTGACTTGGACATTCCTCTCCTTCCCTTCCTGTTTGGGTGTAATTTGAGTCGTCATAACGAGAATCCGCAAGTTCTGAGTCCCCAAAATCGTCATAACAAGGCAGATTTGTTGATTTCATACGGAGATGAAGCTGTAGTGGTACGGTGAATGAAAATCAGGAGGCTATTGATCAATATCCCTGGGCTTTAAAGTTGTGATCAACGTGTTTGTAGTTTCATTGATTTAGGTTTTGTACCACAATAGAGGATGAGATTGGTTTTGAGAGTTGAAGAAAAATAATTGTAAGATATACATGTTAAAGTTGTGATTTGGGGTGTATTTAGATTTTTTATTGAACTTTATGAGGTTAAAATTGTCATTGCATATTAAATTTATAAGTGATTTAATATTGAATTTTAATGTAAAGTGTATTCAACATTATGTGGAGTATTAATAAAAAAAAAACTTAGTTCAAATCACAATTTCATTTTGGGAGGGAGGTTTTATCTTCAGTTTTTCTAGGTACTGGGTAGTACAGAGAGAAGAAGAGTGGTGGTGGTGGAGAGGCAACGTAGAAGAGAGACGGCAGGGACGGAGCCATAAATTTCTTCTAGTGGGGGCAACCGAAAACAACTAAGAAAACCTTATTATAGTATGGTTATATGCAATATGATATTAACGATGGTTTCAAATGATGATGTATCACAATTTCAATGTTACAAAAAATTCAATATAGTAGTGGAAAATGGCAAAGTGATGAGAAAAATATAAGTACATGATAGACGAGAGAGGATTTTTTCGGTTTGAATGACAGAACAAGAGCACTAATGCTCATATAATATTTGATATGGAGTATAAGTAGAATGAATGTATGTTGGATATTAGATACATATATTTTCTTCAAAAATAACCCGTATATATTATATAATTGTAGTCTGCAACTAAACAAATGAATTACTTAAGTGGGGGCATCTGCCCCCAGTGAACCTTAGTTGGCTCTGTCCATGAGGGACGGCCTGGTTGGGATGAAAGGCTTTCAGTTTTTTCTATTTTTTCAATTGGAGGATATTATTGAAATTTAAAGTACAAAAAATACCAATGGATGAACTTAGAAATTTGGTGGTCACATCTAGAAAAGCTCAACAAAAACACTTTATTTATATATTGCTTTATGTCCTTCTATATAATTTTACAATAGAGAAATGTGACATTAAAATTTTGATTAAAATGTGGGTGGGATAATAAGACACTGAAATGGGCATAGTAGCACTCTTGTTATTTTCCTACTCACTATTATTCCTAAAATAACCTCGAATATAGGGGTGAGTGCGGTTCGGTTTAGTGCGGTTTTGAGTGAAACCAAAACCAAAACCGCAAGTTTTTGCAGTTTGGTTAGGTGCGATTTTGAGGCTAAAACCGAATTGAAACCAAACCATTTGGTTTGGTTTTAAATGGTTTTGATGCGATTTCATTGTTTGAAAAATGTATTATGGTTACCTAGTTGTATCTCATTCATTTTCCTTTGATATACACTTTAATTATCTTCGACGGTGGAACTTTTCTTCTGTAGTTTATTTGAAATTTCTGCACAAACAAGAGTAACCATGACTAGAAAATCTTTCACAATAACAAACAGCTGAAATGGTGCAGCTCCTTTGTCTCTCGGTTGTTTTCCTCACAAGCTCCATAACCCTAGTTTGCTCTTCTCTCACCACCGTGAGCTCCGCCTCACATTCCTCTTAAAACCCCTTCATTTCTCTTACAAACCCTCATCTATCGGCAATGCCACTCTCTACCAAAAGCTTATTGATTTCGCTGACACGGTTGCTTAGAGCAGAGCACATGTGGAATAAGCTGTCATACCCTATGGTTGCTGCTTTCTTCACTTTGGATAGTTCAATGCTCAATCCTTCTAGCTTTGACAACCCTTGGATTAGGTACTCTTTTCTTCGCTCTTCAGCGGTTAGATTATCCGAATTCAGTTACTAGTTTGGCTTCTTTGACTTGTGTTTCTTCCAAAGCTGCGGTTTTGATTTATCACGAAACCTCTCCCCTCAGATTGAGCTAAATGTATGGACTCAATGAAATAATTAATTAGAATTTAACATTTAATAAATTTATTCGGTTTCAGATGGCTGGAACCGAAACCAAACCGGCTTTTCCTTCATTCAGTTCGGTTTCAAACTGAAACCAAAACCGTTTTGAAATCGCAAAACCAAACCGTTCGGTGCGGTTCGATTTGGTTAGTGTTTTGGTTTCAGTTTTTGGGTTCAAGTGCCCACCCCTACTCGAAAATTATATTTCCCCACCCACTATTATTCCTAAAAATTGAAATGTTATTTCCCCAACATTGAAGTCTCATCCGACGATAATCTACCAACAAATAGATGACCCTCCAAATGTTATGTTGTTGTGTGATTCTGCACTCTAATAACTACCATAAATATCTGATCATAATTAGTTAATAGCTTCTTACTCTTTAATTTGAAAAGCCATCCAAACTTTTTTGTTACAAAATTCCTTCTAACCTCATCTTTTATGTCTTTTTAGAGAATTCAGCTTACGTATTGTCCATTCCTTGCACAATCCAATGTAAGTCTATGGCTCATGTTACTTTTATGGGCTAAACCTATTATATTATATATCTTTCAAGGTAGGTCATTTTACAAATGGATA